TTATGCCATCTCTAAATGTTTTACTTGATAAGAGGGATCATGGCAAGGGTATGGTTTACGCCCAGGGTCACTTTCTTAGAGGAAACTTTGCGCCAAAAGAAAATGACTAATGATATTTATTTGTAGGTGTAAGAAAAAGAAATAAATAGACCTCTCGGTAACTGCTTTAGGTTAGTCACGATGCTATAAGGTAACCATTGGAGTAGAAAATAGGACATTGCGATACTTTTTTGACAGTGTCTCTAAAATGATACTAAATTTATATATTAATTTAATTAAATTGTAAATATAAGTGCCCCTTTTAATTGGTGACAGTATGGAGAATCAGAATTTGTGATACCAAAATGTTCTTAGATGTTTGGTTCTTGTCGTTGACACATTTGCTCTCTGGAGTAGGCAACCACGGCATAAACCATACACTTTCCAGTATCATAATCACATGTATAAAACTCGAAACGAGGAAACATTCCAGGGAGATGAGCATTTGGAAACATTCGCCGGCTTAAAATTTTTCCGCTCACGATAACAAGGTATAACCAACTGATAAATTTTATCCAGCCGTGTTAACCCCCTGGTTTCTTGGATCTGGGAATCGGTACCGAATTCCTTAACAAATTAATGCGCTTATGCCCAAAGTTCTGACTTTAAGCCAAGAATTCGTTTTTATCAGTTACAAATAGTGTGCATACAGATCAAATAACCCGAAAGCTGGCATTCAGGACCACATTCTCTCAAGGCAAACTTTATTTTTCATGTAATTTTTGACGTGTCGCTTCTCCCATGATATTACATGGGATAAGTGCGTTTAGATGAGTTGTTTGAGAAGAACGGACATCTCTCATGAGTCCTCACGGCGACCTACCCAGATGGGCAAAATCTGCCGTGTTATGGCGTGAGTGGATCAGCCAAGACACCAACAATATCATTTATTTCAGCACGCTGGAGTCGTGAACATAGGCCTGAACGTCCAACGTTCAACCAATCAGTGAAGGCAAATGGGCGGCCCGCGCCACGATGTCGCTATGCCGACGAACGGAGTAATTAGAATGCCTGCAATGAGCTGTCAATTTGTCTTGCGGGCATCAATGGCAACACTGAAAATTGAACGTACTTCAGACCAGGAGAGTTCAACTTACACAAGAATCGTACAAGTCACATACTTGATTACATAATAACACGTCGGTTGGTAACTAGATACACAAATGCTCTCGATTTCCTCAGAGTAGCTGAGAACGGAAAATAATAAGTTAAACGATAACTGTATCGGTCAAACTTGTCGGTTTTCGCTCAGGGCCAGCGTCTCGGCCATCGACATAAATCACTAACAAAAAGGCAACATCTCATGAGCGCATATATTCGTCCGCTCTCCCTTTTTTCATTACTGTGTCTTCGGCTACTGAGCTGCAATGTCAGGGGCCACTTAATTCCTCCGTCAAGTCCCCTGGAAAGGTTACTCGGGGGATCGGTGGGTTTAGAGATTATCCTAAACCGGATAAAGTGAATAAGACAATGTAGGGAGCGCAATTGTCCCGCTTGTTGACAGACTGCCTTGCGGTGTTCGCGCGTCTTTCCTTTTTAATCAGATATTAGCCTGAGTGAAGATGAGAGCGTAAAGGCGACTCGAGTTGATAGCCATGGTATTAGTTAGGTGTAACCTCTCTATAGGCCCTCAGAAGATTATCAATATTTTAATCATTTACACAATCTTATACTTCGTAGATGGTGATGGTTCAAATGACAACACCGTCGGGAATGGGTCATCTACAGCTGCACCTACGACGACAATAAAACCGGAGGGTAGGTCCAACGACATGCCTTTTATTTAAAATTCTGTAGTTGAGTCAAAATCTCCACTTGTGTTCGGTGACTACGCAGGCTCAGTACATAGGCCAAGTGCATGCTTCAGTATTTTCTTCACAGTAATTAGGAAGAGAACATATTAACTTGTGAACTAGTGGGGGCTTCGTTCGACATGTGAAACTGCAGGAGAATAATCAGCAGATAGTAAACTAAAGCGACAGCTTGGCCGACATTACGCCGATTCCAAAACTGTACGTATGTATACCGAAGTCAAGTTAGAAGCTCTTTGTGACGAAGCATTGTCTCGGCCAAAGCACCCACGGTCTATTAGTCTATACGTCAAATGATTAATTGCCAGTAAGCCACCTTCGGCAGGCAAAAAGAAATCTTCACAGATGTGGGCGGGATAAAAAATAGTGGAAGAATCACTAAGCTTGATGACCTAACAGGTATATTTCATCAACGCTTTCTTTTTTGCTCCTAGGCAAGGCGACTTCCAGCTCCATACGTTCTCAGCTCGGGGTGGAGTTGTTCGCTCTTTCACTGGCGGTCGTGTGCTTTTTGCTTTAACTGAATTACATTCGGCCAAATACTAATATACTGCATTCACTGAATGTTCATAAAGGTTTTTCTTCAACAGATACGGCTGCTGATTTCATAGTCTTATTTGGTTCATCCCTTTATTGTGGGTTCCACGTATTTTGCCAACTGACAAATCTAATATACATATGCTGTACGGTAAAATTTTCCAACCCACTGGCTTGCAGCTGCCAACATATTTAGCTCTCAGAATCGCAATTTCGAATCAAAATGTATTTTTCTTAAAATGAAACCGTAAACTGTTCTAGTGTGATGATACTTGAATTTCTACAGACATCGTTTGTTACGGATTACAGTCGGTTGACGGCATTTCATTCCAGGCTCAGAAACCTTGACAGATTAACCATTCAGATGTTAGGAAGCGTATTTGAAGTTGTTTCAGTTTTGACGTAGTTAAGGCTATTCGTCGGCAAATAACTGCTGCGAAAAGGGATGCATATTTGTATTGTTAGATTCGTTTTCTATCCTCAAGTGTTTACCCCCGGAATGTATATTAGGACGCTGTGCATGACACCTACGTGGACATTTCGACGCCCGTTACTAAGAACGATGATGACGACACGATTTAAAACAGCGTTGTAATTTGAGAGAAAGCAAAATTTTTCGTTAGCAAATTCTAGCATAAAAGTCAAACTACGAAATTGCGTCGGACACCACTCGTGAAATCAGACCTCACTGCCAGTTTTGACGAATGCATGACCTCTGATGCATGACAAAAGCAGATTTTGAGAACGTGGAGAGATCTTGTCTCGTTGCACTTAGCCAGAAATCTTACCTCCTATTTTGTTGCGAGGATCGGACGATGATCCTTCAAACATGTTAATTGCTTTTTCGCCAAAAGCATCGTAAATTATTGTCCTAAATAGCACTGTCGGAGTATGCTTGCACAGAATAAAGTGCAGGTTATATTGACGGATGCGAGAACACCATCCTGTATAGCTAAATAAAGGTGGGGGAAAGTTCATCGCTGGCGCATTTGTGGCTCACTTGGTTGAAAGCGGCCACCGACTAGACGTCAACCAAGCATTCCGCGTCATCTTTAAAGGGTCGGCGAGACACTCTAAGTTGCTGCGTCAGGAAATACTTGCAACGGAAGAGGCAGTGGCTGTACGGTTAGGCAACCCAACTCTGTGCTCATATAATAAAGTTCGTACAAGCGCTAAGGGGCAAAGACAAACCCAGCATTAAAGTGCGAATGCGCAGGTTAAAAGTGTTGAACAACTATGCGTCTAGCCAAGTGGAGATGAGAACACCATCCAGCTTGGCTAAATCAATGTGGGAAATAGTTCATCGCTAGCGCAATCGTGGCCCATTTGGTTGATAGCGGCCACCGCGTAGATGTCAACCAATCATTCCTAGGCATCTATTACGTGCCGATGAGACATTCCAAATCCCTTTGCCAGCGAATACTTGCAACGGCAGAGGCAGCGGTCATACGGTTAGACAACCTAGCCTTTTCCTCTCACAGAGCTCCCCTGGGCAAAGACAAATCCAGCATATGTGTTCCGATCTGTCACGTCACGTTACGGCGGTAAAACAAGGACACCTTATTGCTAGACACCTTTTCCCTCCACCACCCACTCTCCCCCCATAAGCCCCAGACAAAACTAGAATCTGACCTCTGACCTCTGAAAGCCCCCCCCCAACCCTCTCCTCCGAATTTTGTTAGATGATTTTTGCTATTCCGCCGTCCCTCATATTACTGTACAGGCTTGATGCTAAATGATCGAAACTGTACCTTTACCGGGCTTGACTTATTAGATGTCTACATTTGTATCGGCGTTGAAAATAAATAGAACTTGAAATATTACGATAGCAACCTGTTTTTAAATGAACCCCATGTGTTTTCTAGGCATAGTATAAACAAGCGTCGTGCCTAAACACACAGAAGAATAATCTAAGTTCTGTAATGCTTGAGAAGTTCTGGTCACGAAAAACTGATGTACTATGATATATATAATCGGCCGTCGAATGTTGCCGCGCCAACACATAATGAACTCATATTCTTAAATAAATATATTGTTGCGGAGATTGGCAGATGGCTAGTCGAACACCCTAAATGGCTTTTGTGGTGTGCGAAAGAGCGCATGATAGTGAGCGAGGAAAGCGCCTAACTTCGAAAGTGAAAATTCAACAATGTCAGAAGCAAACAAATTACGCAAAATCTAAAAATGATTACACACAAAAAGGAACATCTAATTCGAGAACAGTTAAAATCTCAACTGATGCATTCTGTCTCTTCACGCAAAAGATAGCGTCCAAGGAATGGCAAAAAAAACCTGACACGCCGACGTCCGCACCTATAAACACTGATCCACGAGCCCTTTGCCCTGTCGTTTTCGATCGGGAATATACAATGGTACGGGGCGCTCGCCGATCGTCCTTACGGAACTCACTCGTTCTTTTGTGTCTTATGGACTCTCTCTCTCCTGACCAACTAACATGTGCACAGTTCGCCAGCCTCTGTGCAGCGGATTAGCAAGTGGCCGGCCAGGCCGATATTTGGAGTAAATTTGCGGTTGCATATGTATTCCTGGTCCTTAATTTTGTTGTCGTAGGTGTTGCTGTTGATTTTTGTTGGCGTGTCAGGATTGTGTGCCATGATGATTCGCGTGACAGACGCCGCAACGGCAGACGTCAAAGCATTGGAGGATGTGAAAGAGGAGGAGGAGGAGGAGGAGGAGGAGGAGGAGGAGAAGAATGGGAGGCGTGGTTCAGGAGGGCAGTCAGAATTTGTTGACGGCGTACAGGACGAGGAAGAGGCGGACAGAATTGCGACGAGTGGTGCATTTGGAGCAGTGCAGTGAATCCGCAGGTGTCCAACAAGTTCAGCTGGCTCCAGGAATGTCCGTCGACACCGTGAACACGGTTGTACCTTGACATTTTGAGATAGGCGCAGCTGAGATTTGCATGCTTTGCTTTTGGCTTTCGCGGCGGCAATGAGGTTGGCTTCGTAGATCGCAGGGTCTGTTTTCACTGTTCTCCTCCATTTCTGTTGGTCTCGAGCGAGGTCTCTGCAATTGGCCGGGTTGATTAGCAGGCACTTCAGAAAGCACTTTAGAGTATTCCTGTATCGACGGATTTGGGCTACATGGCGACGGGAACCCGTGGTGACGTCTCCATTAATGAGTCGTTTGGGTAGCCGCTCGTCCTCTAACCGCACGAGATGGTCGCACCAACACAGATTAAGTTGTCCCAGTATGGGCTGTATGCTGACGCTTCCCGTCCGCTCCAGTACGTCACTGCCTGGAATTCGCTCCTGCTATCTCACGTTCAGTATTCAGCGAAGACAGCTGAGGTGGACGAGATTACGTCGGCGTGCCTGCTTCGTGTACACCGTCCGAGTATCTGCTGCTGATTGCGGCGTTGGCTGGATGACGGCCTTGTACATCTTCAGCTTCGTGCTGAGTTAAATACCTTGAGGATTCCAAGGTGTACTTTAAAGACGGTCGAAGTCTTGACTGGCCTTCGAAATCCGGCGGGCCACTTCGCCGTCGATTTTGGTGCTGCGGAAGAGGATACTGCACAAATACGTGAATTTGTCAATTACTTGCAGTTGAGTTCCGTTCACGCTGATTTGGGCTGTGTTGAGTGGCGGTTGAGGTTTGACTACTGTATTCTCCGTGTTAATGACCAGACCGAAGTTCTCGCAGGCAGCGGAGAAGAGATCCTTGCTCCTTTGCGTGTCCCCTTCCGAGGTTGAGTACACATCGAAAGTCTCAATGAGACGGGTGCTGGCGTCGGCGCTGAGAAGAAGTGCGGTACCTGTGGTTGGCGGACCGAAGACACCTTTGATTGCGGAGTTCTTTCATTCGTTGTGGTCAGCATATCCTTGGATCGCCTCGGCCTTGCGAAACGTCCTGTATCTAGCGCAGCTGCTGTTTTAGGAGGCGGCGACTGCGGTAGAAAGCAGCTCTGTTGTCGATGTTGGGGCGGTCGACGTAGGCTTTTTGCAGGCGGTTCTTCACGGCGAGTAGGTTGCTAATGACCGTGTCGTTGTCGTCGAACCATTGCTGTTGTTGGCGGCGTGCGCGACCGAGGACGGTCAACGCCGTTGACTGAACTGTGTCTACCAATTGACACCATCGATCCTCCACGGAGGCGTTCTCGTCAGCGACGGCAACGGCGGCGGATGGAAGGTTGTCGGGCCGTTGAGCCGGCTCGTTTATGAAATGGACACGGTGTGCAGACAAAGACAACAAGACAATATTCAGCTTAACCAGGGGTCGCTTACCTTGTAGTCTCCTGCGAGGATGTAGACGAATCCGCATCTTTAAGATGACGAGTCGATGGTCGGTTCACACGTCAGCACCCGGAATCGCCTTACGAACCAGCACATCCCGCTGGTCTGGCCTCCGGACGAGGACATAGTCCATCAGGTGACACGGACGCGACCGATGATGCATCCAGGAGGCCTTTGCTAGCTCCGGCAGGCAGAAGAACGTGTTCGTCAGGACACGTTGGTGTTCCGCGCAAGTTCGGAGAAGGAGCAGGCTATTGTCGTTGGAGTCGCGGAGACGATTGGACCTAGCACTCCTCTCCAGGCAGCATGGTCTATGCCGACACGGGCGTTGAGGTCACAAAGGACAATCAACTTATCCGCCTTCGACACAGTCGCCAGAAATGCATACAGGTCCTCGTAGAATTTGTCTCTTGTGGCGTCAGGACTGGTCATCGGCGGAGCGTAGCCGTTGACGATGATGGCGAATTTGCCTCCCTGAAGAGACAGATGGAGACTCATCAGACGATCGTTGATGCCCTGCGGCAGACAGGGCGGCCTTCCCACGATGTCCTTTCCGAGGGCAAAAGCGACACCCGCATCTTGTCGCTTAGCATTGAAGTGACCGCTCGAGAAGTTGAAGTCGACACCCACCTCCCGCAGTTGGCCTTGTTCGGAGAACCGGGTCGAGTTGAGTGCAACGATGTCCACCTTTCAGCGCCCTAGATACCGGGCCAATAGAGCCGTCTTCCGTTCCAGTCGGTTGCTCCTAGGGTTGTCTGAAAGGGAACGAACATTGCAGGCTGCCAGAGTTTGCGGACTCACCCTACACGTGTGGTGATTGGGGCGGCGGGGAGGAGGAGAAAAAGAAGACGAAGCAGGAGGACAGAGTGTTTTTGTCGATTCTTTGATAGTTGCTTCGACCGAGAGTTTAACGTCGGCGACCATGGTCAGCATGCAGATGGCGTGGTTTCCCAGCGTTTCTAGTTCACTCTTCTTTGCGGGGGCAAGCAGTGTCTCCCTAAATAGGCCTACTCGGTAGTGTCAGGCGCTGTCGAACTCCACTACGGGCCACGTCTTTGGTGTAGTGGAAGAACGATCTGAGTTAGCCTGAAGAGCTTACGACATCGCGGTAAGCTTATGACCTCCTTTGGTGTACCCGGCGAAGACTTGTCTCGGCGATGTCGATGCAAAGTTCTATCCGACCAGCCGCCCAGCGGTGTCCACAATGCTATGTGCGCAAATGCACACACGGATACCCTCACCTGGTTTAGCCCGCCGGTCGGAGCGATTACCGGAGTGTGACGGATAGGTAAAGCCTAGCTTTATGGAGGTGCAGATGAACTTTGGGTGACGGCAGATGGACGCAAGGCGTAGTCTAAATCGGCAAGGAAGTGAGCGACCTACTACGACCGTCACGTGAACCCACCGCTGGACACCCCTACACCCGGCAGCTACGTACTATAAATACTGCAGTCTTTGTGTCTCCACTATCTTTATCTGCAAACGTCTCTGCTGGTGGGTTCGAGTGAGAATCCGAAATGTCAGTCCAATAAACTTTTACTTCCAGTGGTTGTAATTTCTTCTTCTTCTTCTTCTTCGGAGTCTGCGTCCCTCGCTGTCCGTGGAAAACGTGGATTAGATTAATAAACATGCCAAAACCGCTGATAAAACAATACTATAAACAACAAGAGTATTGCATTATAGTAGATAATAATATACGGCAAATAATGGCACAGACTCACAAGATCTGGGATACTTGCTTTATCTTCTGCTTCATGAATTCAGTGTCGCTGTCCACTTGGTGCAGTCGTAGACAGGTCCGGCACAAATTGCAGGACAACGAAGCCCTCAACAATCACATGTGTCCTCTATTGCTGGGAAACATCATGGGTGGAAATATCTATTTTATAGTCTGCGGATGGTATTGCGTGCGGAGGCCAAACCGCGCCATTATCGTGGTCGTCGAAATCGGTCATAATCAGAGACGTACAAGTAAATGGCTACTGAAACTGTTATAAGGCCTAAGAGCAGTGAACACATACTTGCCTCAAAGCAAAATGGCCGCACTGCAGATTGTTCCGATTCCCGCCTAACCACCCGCCCCACGTCAGGTCTTGGCACATTCGAAAAGTCCCCTTGACTCCTGTGCCTCTGGTTGGTCGGCAGTCGTCGTTTGGAAATTCGTTCACATTAAGAGGCATACAGAAGACAGTTACTTGACGAGAAATCAACTCTGGGCGCACTGACAGAAACAGTTGAAATGCACATGAGCATAGGGTCTATCATAAGAAATAACGAAGCTGCCCAAGCGCTATCATCACCCCGATCGGTTTCAAATCGCTCGTTTTCTTTCTGGTATCAGCATACTAATTGGTGCTTTTGAATGCCATGATGTACTAATCTCGATCCTCTGGGTTTGTAAGTACTGTTTTGTAATAAACTTCCGTTTCCTAGGACTTATCTACATTTCAACTAAAATTGCGTTGTAGTGAGAGGTGCGTTGGACACGCGGAAGCGTGTAATTGTAATTAATATTTTACGGGGGCCCTAGCCACTACATGAGCACTGCTGTCCTATCTTATCTAAAAAACTTTGAATTTATTATTGGTCCTATGGATTGTTTCTCCTCGCTGACGTAGAATGCCATGGCAGTCCAAAGTAGACGCAATGTCCCTCGTTATCGACCGACTGTTTTCTCAGCCAAGTGTCTTGTCTTTTGCGCGGATATGAACCTCGCTGTCCGCATAGGGTGAAGGAAGCCCCGTGGCTTATTGATTTTCGTTAACGTCGAGAACCCTAGCAGTCCACAGTGTATAACATAATCCTCCTTATCCACCGACACGTTTCTCAAGCAGCCGTTTTTCGTTTTGCGCGTAGTTGTGTGTATCCGTTAGAAGAAGCTCTATCTTATGCAAAGGCTTGATAAACTTACTTACTGCTGAATCTCACCTATGCGATTTTTTCCCCGTGGGAGCGTTCGTAATGCCGGGGGGGGGGGGAGGCAGTAACAACTACGGCAATCATATGTTCAGGTTTAAACACTAACTGCTACTTATTAGGTTTCAGTACAATATTGATTTACCTATTTGGCTGCCGTTGACTGCCCGCGGTTCCAAAGACTATAAATCCTTAATTTAAATGATCCTACAACTATCTGGATTCCTAATTAAAAGGTTTACCGCGGTCTGCTAAATACTTCTGAGATGTCTCGCAATAGGCAGATTGTTGCATCCAAAATTCCACGAAAGCACGAGAACTGAAAATAAGTATCTCGTGAAATGTTGACTGAAATTCTGAAATGCGCCATCGGTTTCGAGGGATTACTAAGGTGGGGTTGTAATATTGATTATCATGCGGCATAATCCTATAATATTTAGAATTTGCCAGGATTTCGGCTTTTGAATGCATTTTCTTTGGACTTCCTATATAAATCAAACTCGGCACAAAATAACTACTCAAGTAGCAAGCATTAGCCACATCAATTTTCGCCGGCCTTATAAATTCAAATATATTTTATTGATAACACACACCAAATATGCTTTCTTTCACTTGATTCGTCGAAAATCACGTTGAGATTGCATTTTGCATCTAACCAACTTGTATGTCTGGGTTTCTCAATTCCCCTATAATTCAAGGCTGATCTGCCCGGTGCATTAGCATTTAGCTACCTTAGTCTACAATTTAAATACTTTCCGCGTAAGAAAGTCAGGCATCCCTCCATGCCTTTAAGAAGATACCATATAGAGTTCATGAAATTTTGCAATCGGTGCGGATTGCGTGGGACATTTCATGAGGGAAATTGGTAAACGAACATGTGTGATGCTGTATATATGAACATCGCATCGTTTTAAAAACCTCATAATTAGAGCCTTTTTTAAAACCAGAAGATAACCATTCGCCGAGTATGAAATGTAAAGACAGTATAATTTTCTATCAAGCGAGTGAAAACAAGAACATGTTTGTGCATATTCTCTACAAAAAATATTTGAATATATAAGACCATCGAAAATCAACCTGATGAATGCATGCTATGTGAGCAGCCATTTTTATCGAGTGTGGTTTCGGCAATAGGATGGGAGGAAATGCATTTAAATGCGGAAATCCTGACGAGTGCTACATACTGTAGGATTATGCCGCATGATAATTAGTATCACAAACCCACTTTAGTAATCATTACTAATCGAAAACGCATTTCTGATTTTTGTCTAACATTTCATGGGGTCGTACACTCACTGCGCGTTGGTCACTTCAAGACAAATCCATTGTCGTCTGTAGTGAAACCTGGACCGTAGCAAGCACTGGTATCCACCCGATGTTCCACGATGTGGGCGTGGCGACGAACCCCCAGTGTACTTATTTGCATTTAAGCAGACTTGCCAGACGTCTACCGAATTCCTTGCTCTCTCACCAACCTTAAGCCGGTAAAGTTTCTAGAAGAGGGCGACGGGAGTTGGGTGCGGATACAGCGGCTGACAAATTTAACCGTGCGGTCTAGGCGTGCCACTCAGGACGTGGTCCCCAAAACATGCTCAGGTTTGCCGTCCAATCAACCTGGATTTCACATGCAATATAATGCTATAAGAAGCACTCTAGGAAATTAGTCAATTCTGCCTGTCTTTCAGTTCTCAGAAGGACTGGACTAAGTTGTCAATTATCGACCTTGCAAGCTCCAACTCTTAGCTCATCGAGGTGAATTCGGCGCGTTATGCGTTTTATGGTGGGGGCATGGGTTTCTCAGGGTCTACCACACCCTTTTTGCCTCCTCCAATTTACAAATGGATTGTCTTAACGCTAATCACAGCCTGGCCCGCACATCATGTGACGAGCTTCCACAAGAATCTAGTGAAGATACTTTGGTCACCTAATGATACACTGCGCACTTCGCGCGTATCAGTCGCTGCCAAGGTCGCAAAAATTCACATCTACCGGAAGCTTTCAACAGAATTCAAGGCTGGCTCTGACATACCACCGCCTTAGGTTCCTGGGCGCCTAACCCGATCGCACTCGAATGCCCGCTTCCATTGCGCTGGAAGTGAAAAATCGTCCGTCTGTTGACTTGCCCCAGCTTATTTTCCATATATTTTGCACATTTTCATTAGCTTTTGAGTTCTTCTCTTTCTCTTAGGAGTCAGGCATGATGGACATGGTAGCTGGGGCCTGTGTATGACTTACGCTGCGTTACGACTACAACTCGGATCGTACGACAGTGGAATTTCATTAAAAACATATGAACGAGTAGCCATTGCAGATTAACTCTCGTTTCTCAGTAGGTCTGGGTAAGATCATCAGTTTTTGATTCGGCAAGCCAGGAAACTTGGCGCGTCCCGACATGTATCATATATGATAGAAGAATAATTATAACGTGAGCTTATACGCTGTCATTTAAATATCTCGCCGTTAGGATTAATTGTAGCTGTTTAACGTCTTGGCAGTGAGAGCATACTCGGAACACTACATTGAAAAGTGCAAATCCCGAGTAGAAGGATAAGGCAGAAGTCACCAGAATAAGGAGTTTATTGCGCACAGAAGACTGAATTGTCCTCTCAGGTGGCAGTGGCCGTTGCCGAAGACAGCACTGCTGTAGACCGCATTCAGTCATGCCTGAGAGCCCATGAGACAGTCGCGGTAGCTGCTTTTGTGGGTTTCAGTGGCAGGTTTTTGTGGAGTCCAGTCGGGCAATGTGTTCAGTAATCACGAAAGCAAAGTCGACATTGAGTTTCGTA